ATGGATTCCTACCTTAGGTCTTTAACTTGTCTTCCCCAGGGAAGCAAAGCAAAATGATGTAATGAAGCTATCTTGTGCAGTAAAATGTGAAAAATGAACACTGCTTTGCAAGTATTGTATAAATAAGTCTGTAAACAAATTTCTTATGTAAACATACAGAGGAATAAAGCTTTTATCTGTTCAAACGAGTGCATGATGTTTAGATATATAAATAGCTTAAGGTAGCTGTTATGTTACTCCAGAAGGACCTGAGCACATTACTCAGTGGCTGCAAATACCAGTGGACAAGAAAAGTGTGGGCAACTGTGCAAGATGTCTTGAGGAAGGGTCAGTGAGTGCACACCTGTGCAAGATGTCTTGAGGAAGGGTCAGTGAGTGCACACCTGTGCAAGAGGTCCTGAGGAAGGGTCAGTGAGTGCACACCTGTGCAAGAGGTCCTGAGGAAGGGTCAGTGAGTGCACACCTGTGCAAGAGGTCCTGAGGAAGGGTCAGTGAGTGCACACCTGTGCAAGAGGTCCTGAGGAAGGTGTAGTGAGTGCACACCTGTGCAAGAGGTCCTGAGGAAGGGTCAGTGAGTGCACACCTGTGCAAGAGGTCATGAGGAAGGGTCAGTGAGTGCACACCTGTGCAAGAGGTCCTGAGGAAGGGTCAGTGAGTGCACACCTGTGCAAGAGGTCCTGAGGAAGGGTCAGTGAGTGCACACCTGTGCAAGAGGTCCTGAGGAAGGGTCAGTGAGTGCACACCTGTGCAAGAGGTCCTGAGGAAGGGTCAGTGAGTGCACACCTGTGCAAGAGGTCCTGAGGAAGGTGTAGTGAGTGCACACCTGTGCAAGAGGTCCTGAGGAAGGGTCAGTGAGTGCACACCTGTGCAAGAGGTCCTGAGGAAGGTGTAGTGAGTGCACACCTGTGCAAGAGGTCCTGCGGAAGGTATATTTAGTGGATATCTGTGAGTTGTGCCTAGGTTTAGTGAGTTATGACGACCCTTATGGTCAAGAATGAGAAACCTGAAAACACACATTAGCCAGGACCATACTTAAGTGATAAAACGGCACCAATTTGCAGCTGATCTCCTCTAATTTAGTCTTTAATACACCCAGGCCAATTGAGTTAAACACTAGGATGGCAAGAATATGTTTATGTCCAGTGAGAAATGGCTCTCCTTAATTACTTCTGGCATCCAGCTGTGGGCTTTCCTGCTACTGCCTAACATAAGGGAGAGCCAAATGCTAAAGTTCATGATAAACACCAAAGGGTGTGGGAACTACAGGCTACTGAGTTTGTGCTTCCTGGGTATGGTTCTGAGACACCAAATTTCACCTGATGCCACACACCTCATTGAGGTGCTTCAGTCTCTGGGTGTAGGAAATACCCAAGCCATTGCTTCAGACTGGCAAGATTTTGTCATTGATGTTCCCTGACACTATTATTTCAGCTATAGTGTAGAGACAAGTACAATTCTGACATACTACACTAAAGAGTATCCAGCCTGAAATTTAAATTTCAGATTTAGGGCCAGCCAAATGACTGTTTGGGCAAAAGTGCCTGTGCCAAGCCTGATAACCTGGGTTAGAGCCTGTGGGCTGGAAGGGGAGGACTGACTTGTGCAAACTGTCCTGGGACCTCTACTTGAACACTGTAGCACATGCTTGTGTACTCAAACACAGTAATAACCTTTTTTTAAATCTTAGATTTTGCTGCTTTAGAGAGAAGTCTGATGACCTCACTGTCAATCAGAGAGCATTTCTGGGGTCAGTCATCCCCAAAAATGCCACACTTTGATCTATGGGATAGTGCAGGGGATGGTGAAGATAACTCTCCAGGGTTTGTGAGTTCTACTGAAATCTGTGTAACTTACAGCCTCAAAATGGAGCCAGATGGAGTTATTTCTAGAAGTTTTGAAAACAAAAAGAGACATGACCCAGTTTGAGGGAATAAGAGAATGCCTTGTGATTAACAAAAAAGCCTTGTATACACTGAGGGTAGGTCCTAGGCTAGGAGAACAAGCTAGAGGGTTTTTTGTTTGTTTGTTTGTTTTTGTTTTGTGTTTTAGTTCTTTGGTTACAAGGTATCTGCTGTGTGGCTGTCATTGATAACCAAAGAACTCAACCATGGCATGAGGGTAAGTTGGGTGGATTCCTAGGAGGTAGGCTGCTTCAGAGGTAGTCTGCTATTGGCTCAAGGCCGTTTCCACTGCAAGGGCTGTTTACCCTAAAAATACTTGTAAGAGCACATTCACACACTAAAGTGAGCAACAGCAAGACCTTTAACTGCTAGTAAGGTTTTTATGAGTCTCCTCTGAACTCCTGTTTCCTGTGATACCACCATCAGGACTCCCTAGAGTCATGTAGTCATCTAGGGTTTCCATATTCTCTAGTATTTCTTTGGCTGTCAAAGTGCTAGGCCTGGTCACTCTGCCTTAGTTACACTGCACCTCCAAGAAAGTTTGGGAGATGGACTTTTCAGGAAAGCCCCGTTAGATGCACATGCACTCTTCCAGTCTTAAGAAGATTCACAATGAGGTGGAGGAAATAGCTGTGAGCCTTCTTTTGAACAATGAGAGACTGGTTTTCCCTTCAAACTGATGCTGTGGTGTTTTATGACTCCAAACTTTTTTTTTTTTTTTTTTTTTTTTTTTTTTTTTTTTTTTTTTTTTTTGGGAAAGAAGTTTTCACTGTATATCCTTGGCTGGCCTGGAACTCACTATGTAGATCAGGCTGGCCTCAAACTCACAGAGATTCATCTGCCTTGACTTTCTGAGTGTTGGGATTAAAGGCATGAACCATCACACCCAGCCAATTCTGAGCTTTCTAAAGCTGTTGGTGTTTTAAAACCTCACTATTCAGTTCAAAATTCGAAGATATCTTGAGTTGGCGGATTTTCTCCTGGGTTCTTGACTCAAAGCCTGCTACTTGACAGAAGTAGTTTGCATGGGGCAGGCATGTTCTTCTTGTCCCATTGTAGATGAGGGAGTTCTTGCCTTGCTACCCCATAGCTCTCAGAATGTAATGTAGCATTGAAGGCATCAGGCTCTGGGTCTCTAGGTAGATAGATGCCTTTTGCAGTCTGTACATGACTTGGTTTAAATGAATCCAGTTTCTGTTCCTTCAAATCACTTGAGTACAGTGAAAGCAGTGCCATTATCAAATCAGTCCGTACAATACCAGGAGCAGTCACTGCTTGACTTACTTACCTCCTATCTCTCTGTGCTAAAGGATGCTTTGCTCTGCTGCCTAGCCAGTGGAGAAGCAACAACATTCAGGTAGTTTGGGGAAGGAGAGGAAGTGCACCTCAACTTTGTCAAATGAGGCTGTAGACTGCCCGACATATAAGAGGCAATAGCCTGTGGACTCAGGAGCCTCTTACATTCCTTGGTGAGTTTTATTTTGAAAGTTAGTGGTTCCCCTCACCCTTCACTGTAGTTCTGTCACAGAAGTTGTCACCTGGGCATCTCTGAGATAAATCTAATCTCAGTTCTCTTTCCTGAGAAATTAGGGTTGTATCCATAGCCACTGTGAGGGAGCAGGTGGTCTTCATCCACTGCTGGATTCTGTGTCAACACTTAACTGCATGCAGGAGAGTTCCAGTGTGAGGAAACATGGATTCTCTTCAAACTCCCATTCTTCAAATAGCATTTAAAAAGCCACACTGTCCCAACCAGGATTCACCTTAAATTTTGAGTAGAATTCATATGTTCACACTATTAGAAAAGGAAATAAAAGCGAGGGGGGGAAAGCTTCCTGAAAATTATCATTGTCAACTGATTAAAGTGAAACACTGCTTTAAAATCAGTTACAGGTTTCAGAAAACAGTTTTGTATGGTGTCTTTTAATAAAACGCTCAGCCCCCCTGTGTGTTCTCTACAGTATAAATTCTCACTAAGTGACTGGTTTCTAATAAACCAGCTTCATAGCCCCCTCCTCTGTGCTGTGTGCTTAGTTCAAGCAGGGATGATAGTAGAGGGCAATGTATGGCAGAAATTCCTGTCTGGTAAGGTATTCATGGGAGAGGGCCCAGGTCGGGAGGGACTGGCCAATAGTTAGTATCCTGGTGGGTTGGGACATTCTGGTGGTATGTCTTTTTTGAGCCCATAATGAAATCTATTTTGTCCCTCACCCCCACCCCCACCCACCCTTTCTCTGGCTTCTTCTTGCTTAGTTACATATGCCTTTTTCCTACCCTCTTGCTAACATGTGCCCAATGACATACTTCTAACCTGCTAATATTTCTTGGAAGGTAAGCTCTATTGCATTCTGATAATTGTCTATTTGATTTTAAATGCCAGAGCACCCAGAGGCACCTCTACCTACATCACTACTTGTGCTGGTACATTGGAGTTTGCTAGTATTTCTGCTTAAAGAACTTAATGGCGGATTCATTAAACAGAGATCTTTGCTAACTTGGGACACTAAAAACAAAATTCTAGGGCCACTCCAGCCAACTTGATGTCATCTGATATGACTCAGAAAGTACCCTCCATATGTGCATCAGGCACCAAGTGCTCTGTGAGTACTGCTGCGGTGTGTCAGCAAGTAAGCATGCATTTCCTGACAGCCGAACTCTGCTTGTCAGAGGGTCTGTCTTTCCACACGTGGAGCACATGCCAGATCCCCGAGCAGTGGTTCTCCATAGCCCCAGACTGACTGTCTGGTGTGTGTAGAGAGGAGTGACTGAGCTTGTTTCCATTTGGCACTGAGCCAGGTAGAGCAGGTGTCTGTGCCTGGCCTCCAAGTAGGAGTGTTGCCTAGTTGCCCTGAGTGTCCGTGTGCCTAACATTTTCACCTTTCCTGCTCATTTGTGTCTATCATGATCCAAAGTGTGAAATGGTGGTTGTGTCTTCAGTCTGTGTGCATTTAGCTTGCTTGACTTCTTATTTTTTTTTGTTTTTCCATTTTCAACATCTATCATTTGGTTCCACAATGTATCTGCCTCGGTTGACCATTAAATGTTCCCAAAAACTCTAAACCAGCCTCCACATTAATTCTAAATTTTATGCTTTTCTAGGTCTCCAGAGAGAGCCCAGTCCTTGTCCTGTAATTACTGTAGAGCACTTTAAAGAACCCGTGGGTGCCAAAGGCCTCGCCCTCTATCCAGATTCCTGCAGAGTTCCTGGAACAAAGGCCCAGAACACCTTAGAGTCTGATTCCCTGGCCCGAGAGGGCCCTTCCAGCAATAGCTCCTTCCATAGCAGCGAGGAGGAGGGCACCGACCTGGAGGGGGACATGTTGGACTGCAGCGGGTCTCGGCCTCTCCTTCTGGAGTCTGAAGAGGAGGATGAGAGCTGCAGGCCACCCCAGGGGAAGCTGGGAGAAGCCACTCTGTTCTCCGAGTCTGGAGTGTCTGCTGAGCCAGAAAAGGGGGGACAAGGCGGGAAAAAGAGCCAGTTCTTACCAATCAACCAGCAGGCCTCAGATGGTCTCGGAGAGCCGGATGTCTTTGCCACAGCACCCTTCAGGAGCTCGCTGGTTCCAGCAGATGACATGGACATTTTCTCCAAAGCCCCTTTTGTCTCCAAGGGCAGTGTAGCTCCTTCCCAGACAGAGGAGATGGATGTGTTCTCCAGAGCTCCTTTTACCAAGAAGAGGAGTGTGGAGGAGTTACTGGCCGTGCAGGGCTCCTCACAGGATTTGCCGATGCAGGCTGGCCTCGGTCAGCCTGGTGAAGGGCCCCTGCTTCCAGGCCGCGATAGAGCCGTGTACACCCCTGCCCAGGCACAGCATCCTATGACTGCCTTTGCACAGCAGCCTGGTCTCCCCTCCCACACTGTCCAGGTGGCAGACCATTTTGACAGCAGCTCTCCCAGGGGATCTCCCATGGAATCTGGGAGTCATCCTAGTGACAGAAACAGAGGACTGCAGCCCCAGAAAGAAGCCTTTTCTGGGCCGGTGGCTGGCAAGCCATTCCGCCCCCAGGCTTTATCCAAATATTCCCGACACTATAGCCCAGAAGACGAGCCAAGTCCAGAAGCCCAGCCCATCGCTGCCTACAAGATTGTCTCACAAAGCAATAAGCAGCTGCTAGCTGGCTCTGTGTCTGTCACATCTCTGTCCTCCAGGACTACAGAGCTGCCCGCCGCTGATCCTTTTGCTTTAGCGCCCTTTCCTTCAAAGGCAGGCAAACAGAAACCCTAGGAGCAGAGAGCAGCCCGAGGCCTGCCTCCACCCACCCCACCAGCACCCATCACACCACTCCTGGCTGGCCTTTCAGGGACTATCCACTGTGACCCCGCAGTCACTGCCTCAGAGCAGAATCACTTCAAGGCAACTAGTGGAGCTGCTGTGAGACTCGGCAGAAGCTCTTTATGTTACACTTTCTGCTTTTGTTCATGCTCATTTCTGGGTGTCTTCCACCTGCCCCCAGAACTCTGATTCTTTTCTGCCCAGAACCCTTTTTAATCCAGGAATATTTTACCCCCAGTTCACAGGGGCTGTATTGCACCACAGCTTGGAATGCCTGCAGCTCCTGTTGGGAGTCACTTGAACCCAAGAGTCAGGATGAATCCCTCCAGGACTCTACAGTACTCTTGGAACAGAGAGATTTCCCGATAAAAAGAGCAATATCAGTCTCCTGCACATCTGAAGAAGTTAATCCTTCAGCCTCTCATCATTCATTCCTGTGGAGCCAGCAGCTCTCAAAGGATTCTGGGATCTGTCACTGAGTCTGTATGAGCCAAGCTGGCCCTTGTGCACAAGTGTCTGGGTGCATGGTATGGGTCAGAGTCTCTGTCATGTAAAAGAGCACACAGGTGGGAAAAGCTCACTTTGCCCTCCCATAGTCTCCTTTTTAGACTAGTATGGATACATGCGTGTGCATGCATACAAGAAACCTTTTTCCTCCGAGGGAAACCACCATGCCTACCTCCGTTATCAAATCATTTTCTTGTGTTTGCCTGTTGACCTGACTTGATTTTTTTTCTCATGGTAAAATTGAAGTTGTTGGACTGTATGGGGCAATCCTGTTGGAACTGAGGTTTCAGAGTGAGTTTTTAAAATTCCATTTACCTAGTTTTAAAAAAATCAAAATTTCAAAACTGGACATGGTAGTTCATGTCTATAATACAAGCTCTTGGAAAGCTGAAACAGGAGGTTTACCACAAGTTAGAGACTAGCCTGGGTTTAATACTGAAGTCCAGGCTACCATATCTCCTCCAACCCAAAAAAGTCACTGGTCCTTCTGTTTCCCCTAGCAATAGGGGAAGAGCATCTTTAGCATTCCAGTCGATGGGAATCCTTCCAGGGCTCCATTGTATGAAATCAAATTATGAAATTAATTAATCAGGAACCTAAAACAAGCCAGGTTTGCCTGTTTTTTCCCTCAAATTCTTACCCATACACCTCTGTTACCTCTTGAGTGGATACAAACCTGAAACCTAGAAGTAGGTTGGAAATGAAAAAGAGCTGGTCAGCTGTTCTTGCAGATCTGTAAATTATCTGTTCCGTTCAGATGGTAAAGTAGAACAGACAGGTGACTGGCTGGGTTTTCACAAGTGTGTTTTTATTTCTGGAAAGCACTGACTCATTTCTAGTGTTTTCATAGCCTTCATTTTTAGTGCCTTAAAAAAACAAAACAAAACAAAACAAACAAACAAAAAAAACCTCACGACTCCATGGGGAGGTTTCTGTTGAGGAAGTTGAGTTTAATGGAAAGAGTCTGCACCAAACTCAGGGTGCATGCTTACAGCTTCTAGCATACAGTTCCTCCACTTACTTGGGAAAGTTTGGAGAGTTGTGCATCAAGCTACATTAGTGACAGAAAAATTACTAGAAGCCAGGCATGCTAGCACACTCCTGTAAGCAGGGCACTTGGGAGGTACAGAAAGAAGGGGTTCAAGGCCAGCCTAGACTGTATGAGACACTGTCCCAAAAAATAATTACTGAAAAATTATCCATTAATGAGGCTTAAATGCCAGACTGCACTTGCAATCAATTAGTTGTAATGTTCTTTAAATTTGCAAGTCAGGGTTTGGGTGCACAACTGAGTGGAAGAATACATGCTTTGCATGCACCATGCCCCGGGTTCTGTCCTTGGCACACACAAAAATAAATAATAAAACCCAGGACTCTTGACAGTAATGTAAGAATGGTTACTTTTGGCCTGGTATGGTGATATGCACCTTGACTCCAGAACTTTTGAAGCAGAGACAGGTGGATCTCTATGAGTTTGAGGCCAGCCTTGTCTACATAGCAAGTTCCAAGCCAACCAGTGAGTGAAAGCCTATCTTGAGAGGGAGAAAGGGAGCTATTTTTCAGTACTTTTCTTTTTGGTATTCTCCACCTGTTTAAATAAAAGGCAGTATGTACACGTGCGCCTCCCCCCCCCCCCCCATCAGTGGTTGCCAAATGAGGGCTCCACTCCATCAGAAACCTGCCTTTCACTTCAGTAAAGGCTAACTATTCTCTCTAGGAATTTGCTTTCTCATAGTTATTAGTTTTGAATTTTTTGTATACTAGTGGATACAAACTGGTTTTTCTGTTAAATGAGTAGTTTGGTTAATGTACATGGAACTTTGCAACCAAACTTCCCATGCTTGTTGTCAGGTGAAGTCCTCCAAGGCATGTGCAAAAAGGATGGAAATGTTCGGACAGAGTCCTCACTTGATATCACAAGCTCTTGCCAGGTTGCAGCAAATACCTGTAGTCTCAGCTACTTAAAAGACTGAGGCAGAAGGACAGCTTGAGTCCAGGATCTCAAGGCCAGCTTTGGCAACATACAAGGACCCATTGCTTGAATAGAAATTTCAGAATGCAAGGTCAACGAGCTCCATAACAGTGCTACAAACTGTTCTAACTTTGATTACTGTATCACTCCATCTAATCCGTCACTTTAATTCACAAGGTTTTAATTCATTTAATTCAAATTAGAGTAAAATCATGGACTCTTTATTTTATATAGTTGAATCATTTGTGAAGTGGGGGGCTTTCGGGCCTTTTTTCATCTACTGAGTGGAAAGTCTGTCTACCATCTTTGAATCGGGAATGAATGTGACCACATGCAGATTGTTTTGGTTTTTTCTTATGTAGCAGTTTGTGAAGGAAATCTGACAAGAGATTAGCCAGCAGATGAGTTCTGAAGGAGATACTGTGGAAGAGTCTGGATACAGGATCAGTGTGTACTTTAGTGATCAGGTGTCCTGAGTGGAAATCTGGAAAAGTTTGTTTTACAGGGAATTAGGGGTGCTTAAAGTCTATGAACCAATACCAAGTTTCTAGTGACCATCCTCTAAAAGTTTAATAATAAGGAAAAGGAATCATTGTCAAAGTACTGCACTTTGTTTTCATTTCTGCTTGTGCTGGCCACTTTGTATATTTTTCATAGGAAACAGGAAATTTTGAACTTTTGACTCAGAAAGAGATGAGTCAGAATGTCCTTAGACAAAGCCTTAAACCGTATCATGTACTGATGAACTCCTGAATGATGTGTGAGGCTAGCTGGCCCTCGCTTCCTCCCGTTAGTTGACTAATGAGCACTGTTAACAGAGTTAACTTATGTGTGATGGAAATTGTCTCATCAGTTTTTTAAGCTTACAATACAGCTCTTTTGCGCCAAACCCATGTTAGCGCCAAAATAAAATGAAATAGTGAAATGAACATCTGGGGCAGGTACACCTATGATCCCAATACTTAGGAGGCTGAGGCAAAAGAATTGTGAATTCAAATCAAGACCAGCCTGAGAAGCTTAGCAAGATCTTAATATTAAAATTTAAAGAGGGTTGGTTATGTAGTTAGGTGATAAAATGCTTACATAGCATGTGCAACCACTGGATTTAATTAACTCCAATACTGGGAGACAGAGGGCACACAGATGGTTCCATCATGTGATGGTGAGCAATCTAGCCATGAAAATGAACAGAACTTGGTGCTGAAAGCAGATTTTAGTTCATACAGGCTGTTTTGTCTTGGCTCACTAATGGGGTTGAAGACCTATTTACTGGTGCATGCCCCAGCATGTGTGTGTGTGTGTGTGTGTGTGTGTGTGTGTGTGTGTGTGTGTACACATGTGCTAACTAATCCATGTCCTGTCTCAGTTTCATCTGGCAACTGAGATCTTTTAAATGTTCAAAAAAAAATGCTGTCTTTCTGGCCTGGTGTATATTTATTAAGTGTTGGACCATGTGCTTGTCAGTGTTTTCAGTTGCTCTTCACTGGTGCATAAAGTGTTAGAGTGATTTGATGATAAGAAATCTGTATTTTTATTCTGTAGATGAAAAGAATCAGAACGTGTATCAAATTGTATGATATGTATACATTACTTCAAATAGGAAACTTAAGTGGGAAGTTGGGGAGCAGGAGATGCAGTGCCCTTCCCAGCAGGACCGAGGCCACTTCCAGTGGAGTCCATTTGGGTCCCTCAAATGTTAAGAAATGTTGCTCCCTGCTGTGTCTTTCACATTCAGACTTTTGAGCACATCCCAGTCAACTCCAAAACAGCTGCTGGTCACAGCATTTTTATCAGAATCAAACTTCTTTTGATGAAAGGTAGTTTGCAGGAGGACAGGGGTAGAAGGCAAGAGCACCCTACCACTTTCCATGGCCACCCTGTTTTCCAGCTGTCCAGTGCTTGCCTAAAAGAGTAAACACTGGGAATTGTAAGTGAAATTATGTCATTTGAGTGATAGCCTTTGTCAATCAATATTTGTTTTGGTCTAACCACCAGAACACTTGAAAACTTAATAGAAATTTCACTAAAGAAAAGTTTCAAAATGCTTAAAAATAAAAAGTAGTGTCTAGTTGTTTCTGTTCTGTCCCAGAGTTCTTTGTGTGCCCCCCCCCCATTCCTAATCCCCCTTAATTTCCTCCCTCAACATTCTCTTGTTTTGACCAGACCAATAAATTGGTGGTGAACTGTCATTCTAGCTTATGGTTGTTTCCCTTACTACTGTAAAATTTCATTTTAGGATTCAGGCCAGCCTTGACAATCTAACAATGAAATGATTCACCCTCCCCTAGAATAAAGGACAGAGGAGAGTTGGCAGGCCCCAGCTTTCCTCTGTGGAGATGTAACCAGAGAGCACTCTCCACCCTGATCCTACATGGCTCTAGAATGAATATATATGTGAGAGGACTCTAGAATAGCAAAAATAGCTAAGTGCTGGCCATGGGGACACATGCCTGTAATGAGGCAAGAGGTTCACTATGAATTTGAGGCCTGCTTGGGCTACATAGCAAGACCTTGTCTCAAAACACACACACACAAAAGGCTAAATATTACCTACATGTGTTTTAGGCCAAAGTTTCTGTAACTTGTAATTCCATGTGTTTTTTCAGCTGTATTTCAGCAAGTGTTACACAGTTCTGAGTTGATAGTAAACATTACCTGTGCTGCCTTGTGATGGAACCATGTGTCTATACTCCAAAAAGGGTCAGATTCCTTTTGGAAAGGAATTTCAGAAAGGACTTTTCAACATCAGTCAAGAATAGATCAGGGTTGGCTGATAGCACATACTTAGACTGTGTGGGGACCGTGTCCAGTCTCCAGCACTTTCACTTTGAGGTAATGGGAGACAGTGAAATTGTTTCCTTCAGAAATGGTAGCCTGCTGTGTTCTGCGAGTCTCTACCAAAGATGCTTTGTATGAAGAGTTTCTCAGCGTCTGTGTGCAAACATGCATCCTCCTGCTTCCTTTGTGGTGGTAACCCCAGCCCTTCCAGTTAATCATCTGAAGAGGACTTGGGAGGGACCACAGGCAGCTGGCACCAGTAACTCAGTTCCCTTTGCCAAAACCTCCGAATTTAGCATTGGAGTTGTTTGCCTCTGTGGTGAGGGAATTGACTAGCCATTGCTTCAGCCTCCTTCCCAAGTAAGCGCCTTCTTGTGGTTGGCACTGGGAGGACAGTGGTGACCTGCATCACAGGGCCTGAAGATGTTATTTTGAATGGAACATTTGATGTCACCTTTAGGGAATAGAAACCAAATAGCAGAGGCCTAGGACCATTCCTATTGCGAGGAGGGAAGATGAGCACCCTCTGCTGGCAGTATTTGGAGTTGATTGAGGATCTGTAAGCAGCCTGGAAGGAGTGCTGAGGTCAGCAGGCCTCAGGAATCCTTAACATGCAAACAATCTTGGGGAAACCAGAAGGTCATTCTTAGCAGTTTTTGTAATACCTCTCATTGCAGGCTGTTAGATTATGTTGTTCACTCTGGGTGTGATCTGTCATATGTATCTGATAGTTGTTATGGATAATTGTTTGGGTTGTAAACTCCTATACTCTATTAAAATGAACCTAATTAAGTGACTAAGTGGTGTGCTTTTTCTTAAGTGGAATCTTCTATGGATGAAAGGGCCCCAGGCACCTTTCAGCAGCACAGAGCCTGGGATAGATTCTAATATTCCTGAACAGAAGCCAGTGTTGGCACAGAGAAACCTACAGGAAACGAACCTAGGACATTCCAAGCTCCCTGTCATGAGGGAGAACCTGCTTGCCTATTTCCAACTGTGAAGAAAACAGCCAGGGTGGTATTTAACTAAACTTCCTGAGCTTGACTTAACAGGATTCAAGAACTGGCGATATGCTGTGTTCAGAGATGGTGTTCACAATCCAGGGCCCCAGAGTTTTGGTATAATAAACATGAGTGAAGCCAAAGTTGGCCACATTTTCTGAGAATTTACTTATCATCTAAATATAAACCTCCACCTGCTTCCATGATTTCTTTTTTATTTTTTGGAACCTGAGTCTCATTATGTGGCCATGGCTGACCTGAATCTCACTATGTAGACCAGGCTAGCCCCATACTCACAGAACTCTGCCTGCTTCTGCCTTCTGAGTGCAGGAATTAAAGCCATGTGCCACCATACCTGGCTAGTTTTATGATTTAAAGTTTTAAGTGTTGCCAGGTGGTGGTGGTGCACACCTTTATCTCCAGCACTCAAGAGGCAGAGGCAGGTGGATCTCTGTGAGTTAAGTCCAACATAGTACACAGAGCAAGTTGCAGGCCAGCCAGGGCTACACAGAGAAACCATGTCTTGAAAAAACCAAACAAAAAACCTCAGCTGTTTTGTGTTTCAAAATTGCAGCAGCAGTCACCAAAGCTGCTTGCTTTCTTACCTGAGACTGCAGGTGCTCTGGGGGAAGACAGACTCCCACTGAGCTTTCTACCAAGCTATGGAACAGGACTCTCAGTGGGAGGAGTCAGGAAAATGCCACTAGCTGATGGCTAAAACCTATGACTCTAGACTCTTGTCTTTCCTTGAGTTCACCTTAGATTGGAGTAGTGAAATCTGGGCTGTAGTTAGAGTGTATCCTGTGGAAGGAGAGGAGATATCGCCTTGGTGTGCTCTCAGATAAGCTTAGTCCAGAGGCAGTCCACAGCCTTCCGCACACTGTACCAGTCTCCAGGGGACCACTCCTCAAGTCAGAGCTGCTGGAACCCGTACTTCTACCTTGACAAGACTTAAATACAAATTTTAACTTGGGATGTTTGAATTTATTAAGTATAGGGAGTACATGTAGGACATGGTTGTGCATGCCTTTAATCCCAGCACTGAGGAGGCAGACGCCAGCCTGGTCTCCAGAACAGCCAAGGCTACACAGAGAACCCTACCTCCAACAACAAAAACAAAAACAAAACAAAAAGTATAGAGGGTACGCTGGGCGGTGGTGGCGCACACCTTTAATCCCAGCACTCGGGAGGCAGAGCCAGGCGGATCTCTGTGAGTTCGAGGCCAGCCTGGGCTACCAAGTGAGTTCCAGGAAAAGGCGCAAAGCTACACAGAGAAACCCTGTCTCGAAAAACCAAAAAAAAAAAAAAAGTATAGAGGATATAGAAAGAACACAGTGGAAGAATGTAGAATTTAAAAAAAAAAATTTTTTTTTTTGAGAGGCTTTTACCCTGATTGGCCTCAAATTCATGGGTGATCTTCCTGCCTCAGTCTACTTTGTACTGGAATTAGGGATGCGTGGTATCACATCATTGTAAAATTTGCAGTGAACCAAAAGTTGACTAATAAGTCTCCATTGTATGTAGGAAAGAATATGTCTCAAAACAATGATAATATCCAAACATGCATTCTATAGGCAAGTGATTAAGATTTAAATTGACTTAATGAAGTTGCTTCATAGTTTACCCACATATTAGTGTTCTAATCCTTAAAACCTAAGGATGTGGGGGCTAGATGGGAGGTGAAGAAAACTGGGAGGAGAGGGAGGGGGAACTATAATCAGGATATGTTATGTGGGGGGGGATCTACTTTCAGTAAAAGGGGGAAATAAAAAGACAGCCTGTCCTCTCCCCTCACCGCCCCCCCACCTTCCCCGCCTTGGCTCACCCGCCGCGCCGCCCTCCACCTGTAGAGGGCGCGCTTCCGTGACTGCCCTCTCTCCAAGGCCTGAGTCAGAGTAGGACTTGGAAAGTAAGGGGGCGTGTCCGCGCAAGCGCACTGATACTGAAATGATGGCGGCCGCGGAGCGGGCGTGGGGAGCAGTAGCTGATGTAGCCCGGCTGTGCAGGCGGTAGGTGTCGGCGCCGGGGCCAGCAGTTCCCTGTCGCCGCCCTCTCACGTGGAGGGGACTGGTGTCTGATGGAGTCTTGTCCTGGCTCCAGAGCCCGAGGCCCGGCCACCTTCTACGAACGTCCCTTCCCCTTGTAAACCCCGTGGGGATGTGGCTCCGAAGGGAAGAACATTCCCGGGTAGTTCCCTTCCCGTTCCCGGGAGACACATCCAAGGTCACGGCTCTGAGGGAAGCGCCTGGAGGGGACCCACGGCTCAGGCCTGTGCCGGCCGTGTCTTGTTCCTCTTCCAGAGCCACCCTGGTTCTGACTTCCTCAGGCATCTGTCAGTCCCAAGTGTGACTCCTGTAGAAAAGGGCCTAACAGTATGCTGATGGTTACCTTGAAGTTTCAAATGCAGTTTATGAGCCAGGCACGTGGGCCCACCCCTGTGTCATCCCAGCACTTGAGAGGTGAAGGCAGGAAGACCAGGAGTTCGAGGCTAGCCTGTGTTATATGAGACCACTGTCTTAAAACTCCTGAATGCATCTCATAAAAATAGAGGATTAACAAAAGGATTTTGTGGGTTGCCCCCTTCTCCCCTGTTTTCGATTACCGTTTTTGTTTGTTTGTTTTTCGAGACAGGGTTTCTCTGTGTAACAGTCCTGGCTGTCCTGGAACTCGCTTCGTAGACCAGGCTGCCCTCGAACTCACTGAGATCTGAGTGCTGGGATGAGAGTGTGCGCCACCACCGCCTGGCTCGATGACTTTTCTTGAATTACTTTCCTCCGGGTCTTTTAGAATTCAAACCTTGCTGCCAGAGTACACTTCTGATTTATCGACTCTCCTGCTTTTTTTCGGGGTTGAAGGAACAGTACTGGAGTGCCAGGGTGTTTCCAAATCCTGGAATATTCTCACTCCATTCATTGAATGGTTAGTTACTGTTTACTGCATAGTGATAACAGCTGCCATTTACTGAGCACTTACTGTGTGAATTGATAGGTGCTCTTGAGGGAGAATGATCTGCAGTGCTCTACATGCCTTTTGTTTTGAGTGCGTTTATTAAATATACAGCAAACAGTAAAAGCATCAGGCAGCAAGCAGCAAGAAGGCAGTGTCAGAGTAGACACACCATCCAGCAGAACAGACTGGGGAAGCCCTGGGAACCAGCAGTTACCTGGGGACTCTGGTGGACAGAGGAGGTCCAAGGCAGAGTATTTTTTCCTGGGTATGACTTGTAATTAGCCATTTCTATAATAGGCATTTTTATATCACGTGATTAAACAGTAGATGAGTCTTGTATTTTGGGAAGGTGCCTGGGAATGATTTACTTCCAGCTCTGTTCAAGGGGCACTGGTTTTACTCTGACAATTTACTCTCCTGGTCCCAAGGGCATGATGTTTTTCTCGTGGGCTGGTTTGCTCTTCTGCTGTTCTTTCCCCAACAAGGGGTCTTGGAGAACAATTTTAAGTAAACACTTAAGGCAGGTGACTCTCTGTGTTCAAAGCCAGCCCGGTCTACAAAGCAAATTCCAGGCAGCCAGGGCTACACAGTGAGACCTTGTCTCAAAAGTTAAAAAACAAAACAAAAAAAACTGAAGTCAGAGCTGGAACATTTTTCACTACTAAAATGTCCTTTTATTTCCTTTTTTAGCAATAGGTATTCTCAAAGCTCCCTCTGTTTTTACATTAATGACACTATGAAAATACCCAGTCAGTGTTTCTCTATCAGAGAGAAATGAAGTGCCACCCTGGATTCATGATTCCCATCAAGCATATAGATTGGTGGTTGCCCTAGTAGTGTAGAGGCGATAGTTTGTGTTCTGTCAGACTTTAGACTTGGAAATGTTGGGATGAAAGTGAGTGTCCTTAATCTTCTTTTTTTTTTTTTTTTTTTTTTTTTTCCAGAGCTGAGGACCTAACCCAGGGCTTGCACTTGCTAGGCAAGTGCTCTACCACTGAGCTAAATCCCCAACCCCGAGTGTCCTTAATCTTAACTGGTTCTTCCAGGACAGTTCCTAACTTCAGATTTGGGGACATTTGTGTTTAATGAGATACCATGGGGCTAGAACTCAAGTCTAAACACAGAATTCATTTTTTTTGTGTGTGTGTGTGTGTGCACTTCACCCATAATGGAAATTGGATGCATCGTTTTTAGTGGATTTTGGCAGAACCCTTACATGAGGTCAGGTATGCGATGGGTTGAAGCTTAGAATGCTTAAGATTTTTGTTCAGGGGTGCTCACTCATCCCCTCCACTCCTCCTCGCCCCCACCTCTTTCTTCCCAAAGCTGGGATGCTCAAACCAAGGGCTTTGCAAGTGTTAGGCCAGCACCGTACAGCCGAGCTGCATCCCCAGCGGTTGCTGCTTAACACAGGCAGCCTAGTTCTCTCCAGGTGACAGTGATATGAGTCAGAAAAGGGAAGCTTTTCATTGTATACATTGTTTCCCTTACCTGTTGTTAGCCACAAGACTCTGCTGCCTCATTTTTAAACATTTTTAAAAGAAAAAATAAAAAGCCATTGTGTGACTGAGGGTCTGGGACTGCAGATTTAAATCGATTTGTCCATTTCTGTTTCTGATGCCTGGATGTTAGTGTGTATTTCTACTTACCAATCAAATGGGTTTCCATCTGGTTTTGCCAGCATTTTTATTTTATACATATGAGTGTTTGCCTGCACATGTGTGTACATGCCATGTGCATGCCTGATGCCTAAGAAAGTCAGAAGAGGGCTTTGGATCCTTTGGAACTGGAGCTGCGGACAATTATGACCTACCATACAGATGCTGGAAACCAACCCAGACCTCTACAAGAGCACCAAGTGCACACAACTGCTGAGCCATCGCTCCAGGCCCTTTACCTCTGTTTTTAATTGTTTGTATTATTTACCAAAGTAGAAAAAAATGTTATAGATAGAAAATGGGAGGTTAACTCTCTATCATTTTTATTGCTGGTTATGTTTAAATCTTAGCTCTTTTATATATACAAGAGAAGTATAGATTGACTTTAAAAGGTCAGATTGCTTGCTGGGTGTGGCACTCATGTCTGTGATTCCAGAAATAGGGAAGCAGAGGCAAGAATATCCCAGAAGTTCCTGAAGCCACCTGGCTACACAGTGATACCCTGTTTCAAAACAACAACAAAACAGATGAGACTCCTTACTGTGTCATTCATTGTTTCACATGTAGGGTCTGCCATGTGGTGACTCCATACACCTTTAAGAAACAACCTCTGCACCAGTATGTGCGAAGACCACTTTTCCCGATGCGTGCAGCCTTGTCTAACACAGGTACCATTTCACCTCTTCAGAGAAAATTGTGTTACAGAAAGCAGTGGAACAGTGTTAGAGTTAACGGTAATAAAAGACAAGATTTGAAAGGTTTCTTTAAAATTTTTTATTGCATTTATGTGTGAGAGAGAGTGTGCCACACTGCATGTGTGGAGGCCGGAGGACAGCTTGAGTCAGATCTCTCCTTCCACCGTGGTGTGGGTTCTGGGGATTGAGTCGGAGTTGAGGACCGAACCCAGGGCCTTGTGCTTGCTAGGCAAGTGCTCTACCACTGAGCTAAATCTCCAACCCGAGTGTAGGTCTTTAACCTAGGCAGCAAGCACCTTTACCTCCTGAGCCATCTTACCAGCCCAAGAATTTGTCTGCCTTCTATTCAGAGGCTTATAAAAAGGATTGAGTGATTTTTTTGTTTGTTTGCTCCCCCCTCCATGGTAAAATCATACTTTAGTGTAATTAGTCAGAGGACATTATCTGTAGACGTACGAAATCTCTGTCTTACAAGACACAGTTTTTAGAACATGAGTTGCTAAGTAAATGATTTCCAAGATGAAATATTATAAAAAAAGAAGTTACAAGTAGATTTGCGTTTGAAAGAATCATGTGTATCTTAAGCTATTGCTTTCTCTATTTCTATGGGAATATCTGTACAACTGTACATTCCTGGCTTTTATCCAAGCCTTCTAGAGTCTGATTTTGAATGTAATTTGAAATGTGAGCACTGTGGTGTAGTTGGGGAAGCTTAGAGAGGCGGAGGTATGCATGGCTTGATGTGGTCATGGATTATTTTTTTTTTTTGAGGTTGTATTTTAATTACAATGTTTCTCCCTTCCCTTTCCTCCCTATAAATCTTCCATATACCTCTTTCTACTCTCCTTCAAATTCATGGCCTCTTTTTTCATCGGTTGTTATCACATGCATGTATGTATTTGTATATTCTTAAGTACAACCTGTTGAGTCCATATGTTACTTGTATGTGTGTGGAGTTGTTCTTAAAATACCTAATTAAGCCAGGCGGTGGTGGTGCACGCCTTTGATCCCAGCACTCGGGAGGCAGAGGCAGGCGGACCTCTGTGAGTTCGAGGCCAGCCCGGGCTACAGAGTGAGTTCCAGGACAGGCACCAAAACTACACAGAGAAACCCTGTCTCGAAAAAAGAAAACCCAAAAAACAAAAAAACAAAACAAAACAAAACAAAAACTAATTAAACCAAATTTAAAAATACAACTGGAAGCCGGGCGGTGGTGGCGAACGCCTTTAATCCCAGCACTCGGGAGGCAGAGCCAGGCGGATCTCTGTGAGTTCGAGGCCAGCCTGGGCTACCAAGTGAGTCCCAGGAAAGGCGCAAAGCTACACAGAGAAACCCTGTCTCGGAAAAAAAAAAAAAAAATACAACTGGAATGATTTTGTTGAATATCTATTCAGATAAGTATTGAGGTAGCTTATTTATGTTAAAAGAGAAGAGTTGTGTGGGGATACTGTATTTTTCTTAATTTTTACTCCCCCAGTGTACATAGATTGTATGGGTTGTTTGGTTTGGTTTCTTGGAATCTTGCTAAGATTCCAAGGCCAACCTGGAACTTGCTGTGTAGCTGGGACTAGCATGAACTCAGGGTCCTCTTGCTCAACCCTCCCAAGCTGGGGCTGAAGGCTCTGGGCAACTACATTTATCTGAATCTAGCTTTCAAACAAAATTTTGTTTTGTCTTTGTTTTTATACTTATAGTTTTATCCTTGGGTGTTTCTAAGACCTTCTTTTTTGTAGACCTGATTTACCCCAGTATACTGAGCAGGAGAAAGCCAGGTTAACCCTCAGTAGAATGCCTAATGAGTATGGTGACTTTATTTACCAGTACATTATTAAGACAATAAAACATGAAGCCAGGCTTGGTAGCCCACACTTTTAATCCCAGCACTCTGTAGGCAGAGTTAGGCAGATCTCTGTGAGTTTGAGGCCAGCCTGGTCTACATAGTGAGACTGTATCTCAAACAAACAAACAAACAAACCTACAGAAAATGACTGGTTCAGAACAGAAAGTAGTGGCAGTCTTTCTTTAAAGTTTTATTTCAAGTTCTGTTTCCTGTAAAAGCAGATTTTTCTTGGTTGGAGGCACAGGCCTTTCAATGACATGCCTGAGTATCAAAATTCAGGCATTTTAACTTATTAGGATTTCTCTGAGCAGCTTGGGAAATAAAGCTTGTGGGGCCTTTTCCCTTCCCCTAACTTTTCTTACTTCTGTTTATCTAAAAAGGAGCACTCTGGGGGGCTAGAGAGATGGCTCAGTGGTTAGAGCACTGGCTGCTCTTGCAGAGGCTAGGTTTGATTCCCAGCATCCGTATGGCAGCTTACAGCCATCCATGATTCCATTCTAGAGGGTCTAATGGCCTCTTCTGGCCTCTGCAGCACTGCAGACACGTGATACATATACATACATGCAGGCAAAATGTTTGCACATATAAAATTAAAAAAAAAAAACTTAAAAAAAAAGAGCACTTTGTTGTCCATAACTTAAACTGTTTTTTCTAGCATAACACTCTTTCTCTTTTCCAGTACGATTCATGTTTATTCAAACACAAGACACTCCAAATCCCAACAGCTTAAAGTTTATACCAGGAAAGCCAGTCCTTGAGACGAGGACCATGGACTTCCCCACAGCAGCTGCAGCCTTCCGCTCCCCTCTGGCCAGGTACAGTTTCTGCTGGCTTTTCCTGGAAGCACAGGGCCTCTGTAGTTTAGCAGCCTTGCAGAGCTAGTACATTTTGTGGGCAGATTGATTTTAGAAGAGTTGAGTTGAAATTAAAAACACTTTCTCCTGGGGAGTGTATTTGACAGCTCGGTAGCATGAATACTTAAATTTTATTTATGTTTTTACTTAAGAAAGAAGTTAACCAAGTGGGAATGAGTTTGTGTGGCTGTGTGAGTGTGCATACACACCGAGTCCGGAGAGTGTCCTTGAGTGTCCTCTATCACTCTTCATCTTGGTTTTTCAGACAGGGTCCCTCTGGGAACCTGCTGCCCACTTACTTAGCTAGACTGGCTGACCAGAAGGTCCTCAGGGTCCTCTGCCTCTCAAGCGCCGGGGTTGCAGGTGCATACTGTCATGCCCAGCTCTTCGCATGTCTGCTGGGGAGCTGAACTCAGGTCGTCTTGCGAGTGTGCCGTGTACTTTACCCACTGAGTCGTTCTCGCCAGCACTTTTCAGAGTCCTTGGAGATGGGAGATGGGCGTCTCTTGTAGCCTAAGCTGGTCACAAGTTCACCGTGTAACTCCTGGTGCCTCCACTTCCTAGTGTTGGGATTGCAGATGGCTGCCACTATGCCCAGCTTAAAACTCTGATTTTCAAGAACTATGAAAAGGTGCTCCGTTCATTTCATAAGGAAGAGGAACTAAGTTTCTAGGTTTTCATTCAGAACCATTAAGTGATGACAGTTGTCAGATGTGGTATGACCTTTTAAAATCAATTAGGACAGTTTCTTAGTTCCCGAGAAGCATGTTACATGCGTGTCAGAATAATACATGAAGTATACCAAGCCTCTCCTGAACCTGTGGCCAAAGCCATACTACATTACTACAGTCCACATCAGCTAAGGTCTTGCTTGCTTGCTTCTTCTCCCTGCCCCCAGTCCGCCTGTCCATCCTTTATCCATCTGTCCGTCCCATCTATCCTTCCTTCCTTCCTTCTTTATTTCTTTGTTGAGTGCCAGAAAGTGATTGACTCCAGGGCCTTTTACATGCTAAATGTGTGTTCTGCCACTGAGTTGCACCCTAACACTAAATGAAATTTATGCCCTGATACTGCTTACTGCGCACATTTAGAAATCAGCATAGGTAGTTTCCGGTACATGGCCTGCATTCTGTATACCTCATTGAGGGCAGGCAAAAGTGAAGCCCAGAAATAATTTTTCAAATTTCTAGCTGATAAATGTGTACAGTTTTTCTGACTTAAACATGCAGTTTCTCAGAATACACTTTAGAGCATTTATTTTTCATGCTTTTGATACAAACAGTTAGAAATGTATATATTATAATTTAATGCACATACCTGTGTGTATGTGTGTAAAACAAGTGTTTGATGGGTATTTCCATCCTTTGCACTTGTACAGTAGGTAGTAGCTGAGGTGGTTAATGGCACTTGCCACTCTTGAAAAGGATTTGAGTTCAAGTTTCCAACACCTAGGCAATTCACAACTACCTGTAATTCCAGCTCTGAGGGGACCCAATGCCCTCTTCTTGCCTCTTGAGACTCTGCACTCATGTGCATACACATAGACACACATATATACACATAAATAAAGTAATTCCTTAAAAAGTAACAGGTGGGAGGCATTCTCATATTTTTTTTTCATTTCTTTTTGTTACTTAGTTTTATTAAATATAATGCAGTTCTTATCACTATTTAATTGATTTCACAGCTCCATACTGTGTGTTTTTTTTGTTTTGTTTTGTTTTTGTTTTTGTTGTTTTGTTTTGTTTTTTTGTTTTTCGAGACAGGGTTTCTCTGTGTAGCTTTGCGCCTTTTCCTGGAACTCACTTGGTAGCCCAGGCTGGCCTCGAACTCACAGAGATCCACCTGGCTCTGCCTCCCAAGTGCTGGGATTAAAGGCGTGCGCCACCACCGCCCGGCTGTTTTTGTTTTTTTAAAGAATATAACTTCAGGGACCACACAGGCATGCAAGGTTTGCCTAGGGATGTTTATTAGTCTAGTTGCACACGCACGCATGCATGCAGGCAGAACACTCACACACATAAAATAAATAAGTCTAAAAGCTAACATTTACAAAAAGATACATATCTTCTGTGTGTGTGTGTGTCTGTCTCTCTCTCTGTGTCTGTCTGTCTGTGTGTCTGTGTGTTTTGCAATACTGGAGATTGAATCTAGGGCCTTGCACATGCCAGGCAAGAGTTCTACCACTGATCTACAGCCCCAGCCCAAGACATAACATCCCGTTAAGTGAAGAAACCAAGTTGCAGAACAGTGGCGCAATGTGATAATATTTATATAACCCTCCAATAAAAACAGCACACCACTCCATGAAAGTTCCTGGAGAAATATGCACACCAGAAGGACAACCTAGGATTTTAATTTCTTGATTAATTTGATTTTAACTTTTTAGAATTTTTGCTCTTTTGAGATGGGGTCTCAGTAGATCAGGCTAGCCTTGAACTACTGATCCTTTTCCCTCCATCTCTTGAGTTCTGGGATTAGAGACTATGCTATGATGCCTGTCTTTAACCTTTTATTGTTGAAATGTTTACATCCAAAAAGAGTTAGTGTAGCCCAGTGTGGTGACACATGTCTGTAAGCCCAGTGCCCAGGTGGCATTAGAAGTACTGGGTGTTTGAGGCCAGCCTTTGCTCTACACAGTGAGGCCTTTATTTAAAACACACATACACACTCACACACCAAAACAAGAACAAACAAACAAAAAACCCAAAACCAAAACACCGACCGCTTCACTAGGGATGTAGGGAGCTACATGATAGAGCTCTCACTGAGCATGGATTAGGCACTGGGTTCAATTTTTTACCACCACAAAAAAATGTAGGAAAAAAATTCCTGTTTCTTGTATTCACAGAGTTTATTATCTGCAACTAAGCAAACTGGTCTTGTCTTTGCTGAGCTATTGTAGGGAATGTTTTTGCTAAGCTCCTGAGAGAGGTCAGCCTGTCTTTTGTCTTCCTGGAACCTGGCACTTAGAGATGCCAGACATCTGCTGAGTGAAGGAGTGAGTGAACAACTATCTTACTTCAGGAAGGTTCTCAGAGCTGTCTTTCTTTGTGGGTCTCCATGGTGCCCTCTTTTTTCATGTGAAGATATACTGCATTTTTTGCATGTACCACAGCCTTTTCACTGATTGCCAGGTGGTGGACATGTTTGGGGCGGGGGCTGCTCTTCAGATTCATATGCATCTTTGGTAGGATGAGAAGAAACAAAGGCCTCTTGAGTTGATAGCATTTTAACCAGGGACAGTCCATGGAGGTTCAGTAACTTTTCTCTTTACTTCTGCATATGCTTATCTTCTTTCATGACTTTTTTCTTTTCTGTATTCACAGGCAGTTATTCAGGATTGAAGGAGTGAAAAGTGTCTTCTTTGGACCAGATTTCATCACAGTCACAAAGGTATAGTGTAGCTGGAGTTTTTCTGTCTGGCCCACAGTATAATCAGTATAAAGGTAGACTAGCGGCCTTTGAGCTTTTTCTGAGTCCAGTGCCCCTCTTCAGAATTCTCATTGTTTTGGGTTTCAATTTTCCCTTCTTCAGTTTTTTGTAGATAGTCTTGCTCTGTAGTCCAGGCTGGCCTGAAAACTGTGGCCTTCCTTCCTTGGCCCCCTGTTGCTGGCATTACAAACATGTACCACCACTCTACCCTAGAATTTTCTTCCTTTTTTTTTTTTTTTGGTTTTTTCAAGACAGGGTTTCTCTGTGTAGCTTTGGCGCCTTTCCTGGAACTTGCTTTGTAGACCAGGCTGGCCTCGAACTCACAGAGATCCGCCTGCCTCTGCCTCCCGAGTGCTGGGATCAAAGGCGTGCGCCACCACCGCCCGGCTCGAATTTTCATTCTTCATGTGCTAGGGTTTTTACTAACATTGTGATATTAAAAATCCCAGGTGAGGAGCTGGAGAAATAGCTCCGCAGTTCACAGCACTGGCTGCCCTTGCTGAGAGCCAGTTTAGATTCCTGACACCCACATGGCTGCTCACAACCATCTATAACTCCAATTCCAGGGACCTAGTGCTCTCTTCCGACCTCAGTGGGCACCAGCCACACACATGCTACATAGACATACATGCAAGCAAAACATTCATGCACATAAAATTAAGTAAGTAATACATAAAAAAAAAAATCTCAGGTGATGCTTACTTCTTAGATTTGTCAGGTTAATGAAAGGGATTTTCTAGCGGCAGTTAATTAAGATCCAGGTATAACTGTAATCCAGTAGCCTCATCCCTTCAGTTAAAACACTTGAACCTCAGCAGATTCAATGCAGTGTCCAGGATTACAGGGCTAGCCCACTACAGGACGCAACCTTGGCAGGACCAGAATTTCAGCTTCCAGGTTACTAAAATAAAATTTGTTTGTTTGTGTGTATGTTTCATAAAATTTAAATAAATTTTAACAATTTTATTATGTGTGTAATTTGTGTGTGTGTGTGTGTGTTCAGGCATGCACATGGAGATCAGAGGACAGTTTACAGGAGGTAGTTCTCCGTCTACCATGTGAATCCCTGGGATGGAATACAGGTTGCCAGACTTGGTGACAAGTGCTTTTACCCACTGAGCAGTCTGCTTGCCCCTAAGTAGTAATTTTACTAACTCTTTCTGTGAGTTGATGGAGTAAAAAGGGAATCAAGTCCATACTATGAACAAATTACGTATGTGTCTGTCATATGCCATAGTACACACGCCCTCTCTGAAGGGGATATGCTTACTCATTCTTTTGATGTGTACATATGACTAATTTCAGACACATGTGCATATTTGCATAGTTCACTGTCCCACAGCAGTACTGTGAGCCGGGCCATGGTGGTGCTCACCTTTAATCCCAGCATTCAGGAGGCAGAGGCAGGCGGATCTCTGAGAGTTCAATGTCAGTCTGGTCTGCAGAGTGAGTTCCAGGCCAATCAGAGCTGCACGGTGAGACCCTGGATCACCAGAAAGTAGAAAAGATTCTTGAGAGATCTGAGGTGGTGGTCTGGATTTGTTTTGCACTTGGCTGGAAATGCAACATGTTTCTTCAACGTGATTATAGGAGAATGAAGAATTAGACTGGAATTTACTGAAACCAGATATTTATGCAACAATTATGGACTTCTTTGCATCTGGCTTACCCCTAGTGACTGAGGAAACACCTCCAGGAGAAGCAGGTAGTGTTGTGCTGGGTAATTGATGCTTATCTATATTTTACTGGATTTCCTACTTCATTCACATTTGCCTTGATTTCAGAAGTGACCAGAATACAGATTTTTAAATGTTGTTATTAGAATATATTAATTATACATAATTGTGGGTGTCAGTATGGTGTTTTACGTGTGTGTAATGTGTTTTGATCATAATCGCCCTCTGTTACTCTTTCCTTGTGTCCCTCGCACTCCTGATAGTTTTCTTCCCCTTCCCATCTAGCCCACTTCACTCTCACGCTGTCTAGTGAGTGACTCAAACAAGGCTGTTAGGGCTGCTTACAGGAGCACAGGTGAGACGTTACCTGCTGGAGCTTGGGCACCTCACCAGTGGTCCTTCTTCCTCAGCAGCCATGAACTTCTGCAGGTCCTCAAGGAGGATGGAGCTTCATGAGACCCGCCTCCTTCCATGTTCAGGGGCCTGATCAGTTTTTAAAGTTATTTTGTATTTAATGTGCATGGGTGTTTTGCCTTCATCTGTGACTGTGTACTACCAGATATGTGCCTGGTGCCGGAGGAGGCAAGGAGAGGGTATCAGATCTCCCGGGAAGTGGAGTTATAGACAGTTGTGAGGCACCATGTAGATGCTGGGAATCAAGCCTGGGTCCACTGAAAGAGCAACCAAATAGCATTCTACAGCTCTCCACCCCATCCTCCAGCTCTTAGATTCCTTCTGCCTCTCCCTCAACATTCTGTGATGCTCTCTTTGAGTCCTGCTGATAAAGATGTCCCATTTAAGACTGACCATCCAGCAGTCACTTAGTCTCAGCACTGACAAGTTATGAGTCTCTGCAGTACCTTCTACCTACTGCATGAAGAAGCTTCTCTGACCAAAGATAGCAGCACTAACCCGTAGACAGAAACAGGGTTTCTTAAAAAGGAAACAGGTGAGTACATCATGTCTTTAGTAAAACAGCTGTAGCTTCCCACAGGGGTCTGTGCCTCCCTGTCACAGGTTTTTGACCAGGTACAGCAGCAGAGCTGACGTCCTCCTGTGGACTTGGCCTCAGTTCCAGTCAGGGAGCAGTTGATTACCCCACATCAGGCTTGTAACTGTTTCCCAGTGGGCACATCTGGCCTGGCTAGTCAGTGCTGTAGCACATGGTCCACAGCTGAGTGAGATGGTTGACAATTCTCTCCCAGCAGCCTACACAGCACCTTGTGGCCCTGTGAGCTAGCCAACAGGGAGGGAGCTTCAGCAGGAGGATCTTACCATCTAGTTCTTGGGATCAGCCAAGAGCATGGGGTATTTTGAATGCATTTGGCTCGGGAACAATTCTAGATGGGACAAAACTTCGTATATATTGTTTTCTCAAATTGTTTTTGGTTTTTCAAGACAGGGTTTCTCTATGTAGCCCTGACTGTCCTGGAACTCACTCTGTAGATCAGGCTGGCCTTGAACTTACAGAGATCTGCATGCCTCTGCCTCCCGAGTGCTGGGATTAAAGGCATGTGCCACTGCTGCCCATTGTTTTCTTAAAACTTGTGTGTGTGAACACTGAATCTATTATGTAAAACTAAAATTTTAATTATGAAAAATTTTGAGAATTCAGAAAAATTATATATTAGGCATGAACTTGCTTCCACTTAGATTTAACAGATGTTAGCATTTTCTGGAAGAAGGTGCTGAGAAACAAATAAATGTAAAATTTTCCATAGTTGCTTTAGACCCTTTTTTAAATGAAATATTAAGGACACAAACCAGTGTGTGGTGGTGCACACTTATCTCAGCACATGAGAGGCAGAGGCAGAAATATTGCTGTAAGTAACTGGCCAGCTTGCTCTATATGGCAAGTTCCAAGCCAACCAAGGCTTTCTGGTGAGAGCCTGTTTCAAAAAAGTGAAGTAGGGGGAGGAAGAGAGGGAGAAAAGAGAGAGAAAGAACGAGGTAATGTTCTATGTCTACCCCTCCCTTGCTGCTGGGTGTGAGCTTGGTTGGTTTGTATTTTACTGTGCCAGTAAGCTGAAATGAATGGGTAGAATTGGTGTCCATTCTTTTTCTTGTTATTTTTAGTGTTTTTGAGACAGGATCTTGCTTTGTAGCCCAGGTTGGCCTGAAATTTACAATCCTGCCTCCTTCTCCATGCTGAGATTATGGGTGTGCATCTCCATACCCAGTTTCTGGGTTTTATTCTTAAACTTCAAGTAACTTGTGTTCTACCACAGCTTGCCTTTCACTGATTATAATCTAATTTATTTGAAGGTCTAATTTATTTATTTTAAGCACTGTGTTAGTCCACTGGAATGAATAGAGTGCAGTGAATTTGTCCTTTCACTGTGGACATTGCTGGTGCCAGTGTGTTACAAATGCTGCTGTGGACATCCTGGTGCAGGCGTCTGTGGACTGTTCTTCACTGTGTGAGCTATTTGTGCTGACGTCCATTACAAACACTGCTGCCGTGGACACACTGCTTCTGTGGAGGGGCGTGAGTGGGTTGTATACTTTCCTGTAGGGAAGCAGCAGCTAATTACTGTGCTCATTAGCAGTGTGTAAGAGTTTCTGTTTTCTTAGACTTTCTCATCACTTCATGTCTTTTTTTTCTTTCCTTTCTCTTTGTTCCTTTGGTGCTTAGAGACTCTAGAGAGCTTGACCTGCGTTCCACTACCAAGCCAACTCCCACCTCTTTTGCTCCCCCCATCTCACCTCCTGAGACAGGATCTCTCTGTGTAGCCTTGGCTATCCTGGAACTTAACTGTAGACCAGGCTAGCCTTGAACTCATAGAGATCTGACTGCCTCTAGCTCCTGAGTGCTGGAATTAAAGGCATGTGCCATCATTCCCTTTGTTTTGCTTTGGTTTTTGAACCAGGGTCTCACTTTGTAGTCCAGGCTGGTCTCCAACTTGCTGTGTAATGTGGGCTGGCCTTGAACTTTGAATCCTCTTGTCTCAGTCCACTAAGTGCTAGGTTTTTATAAATATGACTACTACCCAGCCAGCTACATTTATTTAAACCAGAATGTCTTAGTTAGGGTTCTATTGCTGTGAAGAGACACCATGACCACAGCAGTTCTTATAAAGGAAAACATTTAATTGGGGCTGGCTTACAGTTCAGAGGTTTGTTTAGTCCATTGTTGGCATGGCAGGGAGCATAGCAACACACAGGCAGACATGGTGCTGGAGAGGGAGCTGAGAGTTCTACATCTGGATCAGCAGACAGCAGGAAGAAAGATATGGACCTGGCTTGAGCGTTTAAACCTCAAAGCCCACCCCCAGTGACACACTTCTTCCAACAAGGCCACACCTCCTAATAGTGCCACTCCCTATAAGCCTGTGGGGCCATTTTCATTCAAACCACCATACAGTATGTTAGGTCTAAAATGGTATCTTACTTACTGTCTGTTCGTTTGTTTGTTCCTACAGTTCCAGGGATTGAACTCAGGGCTGTGAACATCTAGGCAAGTGCTCTACCACTGAGTCAGTCCTTTTTTTACTTTGGAGGCTGTGTCTTACTAGGCTGCCCAGGCTAACAACTATATAGTCTGTAGCCAGGCAGACCCAACTTACTGTCATCCTGCCTCTGCCTCCTGGGGAGCTGGAATCACAGATCTGTGTCACCAGGCTGGCAGTGTCTTGGTTTAGTTTCATTCTTGTATTGACCCTGATCCTGGGGGTTTCTCTATCTTGTTTCACTTTATAAGCTTTCCACGTCAGTAAATTTCCTAGTCATTTTCTTTTTTTAGAAGTAAGTCTTATGTCTTTTTTTATATTGATTTAGTAGATTTAAAAAAAATATTCTAGGTATGTTTGGAAGATAGTTCAGTCAAGGTTCTGACTGAGTACAGTCTCCAGAATCCACATCATAAAGTTGTAGCGTGTGCACACTCGTAATCTCAGCACTGGGGAGGTGGAAGCAGGCTCTCTAGCCAGCCATCTTAGCCTACTTGTCTCACTTGTACATGCACAACCCCACTACACATGTACCTGCACACTGTGTGTGCATGTGTGGGGTCTATGTGTGTTCTGAGCTATGAAATAGTTATAACTAATTCTTCCTAATCATGGCTAGAGGCTAAAGGTAGCTCAGTGGTGAAGTACATCCTCAGTATATGCTCACGCACACACATACACACACCCTTACCACAAAGTGAAAAACAAAAGACTTATTTAAGGCCAGGTAGTGGTGGTACACGCCTTTTATCCCAACACTTGGGAGGCAGAGGCAGGCAGATCTCTGAGTTTGAGGCCAGCCTGGTCTACAGAGTGAGTTCCAGGACAGCCAGGACAGCTACACTGTCTAAAACAAAACAAAACAAAGAACAAGTTAACTATGCCTACCAAAAATAAAAATACACAAAATTTGGGCTTGGGGTTTAGTTCAGAGGTAGAGCCTTTGTCTAGCAAACACAAAACCCTGTGTTCAGTCCCCAGTACCTCAAAAAGAAAGAAAGAAACCACAAGCTGACTGGCTCAAATATTCCATCAGCAGGAATTTATCTCATTAGTGTGCTTAGAAGCAAGGATGTTGCTCAGGGTTAGATACTAAAACAGTCCAAAAGCCAGCAAGGCAAAGCTCTACCAAGATCTCTTTATAATGAGCCTATTTTCATGTACTGATGGAAAGACTTTCAAGGGACTCTAGGCGTGAAGTGTGGATCAGGTAAAGCCTGATCTCACCTGTGTAAATTTACACATGGAAATGTGCACATGCTTGGAGGAAGCCCTGTACTCAGTAGTAATGGGGACGGGGAGGGCAGCTTAGGACTGCTGCTCTAAGAGATTTGAACTTCATCGTATTTTATTTCTTTTATGAAAATGGACTCAAAGGTTAGTATAGCTTAATATAAACTACTTGTGAGGTCGCTAGGAATTTAATATTTATTACAGAACAGCATGGAATCTATATTTTTCACAGATAAATACATTTCTTGAAAAAAGATTTACGTATTATATACAGGCATTGGTAAAACTTATATACAGCTTTACAAAATTCAAGCAGTGGCCAAGGATATAGCTCAGTGGTATAGTATGTGCTCCATGTGCAAGGCCATAGGTTCCTCCCAGCACCACACACATATGCACTCACACACACAGACATGCACACACATGATAAAGCAAAACCAAAACGAAACACCATTCTTGGCTCAGATTTGTAAAGTATTTAGAAGTTTCCAGAAGGCCTACATCTGTATTTGATACAGTTATCTTGAAAAATGACTAAATTGAGAAGCTGAAGATTAAAAACTTACTTCCTAAGTAGCCATGCCTTTCCATCTCACAGTTACAGTGAAATCAGATGACATATTTCTGTGCTGCTCTTTGGTCCTTGAGAATGTTAGTTTGTTCCTCACAGGCCCCTCCCTCATCTCAGCCCCAACATGATCAGGTTTCACTGTAGGATTTATTCCCTGTATTACCGAATATTAAGTGACCATTTTTCCTTGGTCTTTCTTTTGTGAACCACATGAGCCATGTCACCTTATGAAGTTTTGTGTTCTATGTTTTTTTTTTTCTTTTGCTATGTTTTGGATTTTGAGACAAGGTCTTGCTAAATCAAGCTAGCCTGGAGCTCACTGTGTAGACTAGGCTGGCCTTGAATTTCTGTGATCCTTCTGTATCTGCTTGAGTGCTACCATGCTAAGCAGTGCTTTTATGTGAAAAGCCTTCTGTTTTAATGCTTATATAACTGCAAAATTCTTACTCTTGATTTTTTTCCAGGTTCTGAAGAAGATGATGAAGTCGTGGCAATGATTAAAGAACTGTTGGATACTAGAATACGGTATGTGTTAAAACCTCCTAACGCCCTCCCCTCCCCCCCTCGCCGAAATCCAGTACTGCAAAGACAGCTCTCATTAAAGCTGCATGCTTTCACAGGAAATTGGAGCAGGGCTACAGATAGTCAGTGTAAACCAGCATAGGTCATCACCTCAACTGAACTTAAAGCCTGTGCCTCAGTATTCACTCACATCTTTAAAACTCATAGTCAAGAGGAATTTTCCTATACATGTGTAGGAAAGAACTTCATATTCGTGAACATTGTGAAGAGACTAGCACCCATGTAGCAACTGCCCAAATAAGAATAAAGACAGGAGCCAGGCATGGTGACACTCACCTGTAGTTCCTAGGGAAGCAAAGGCAGGAGGAGCTCTGTGAGTTTTAGGCCAGCATGGTACACACAGTGAGACTTTGTCTCAAACACAAAACAAAAAATAGAAAAACAAGGATAAAGACAAGACTAGTGGACAGCCTGTCTCTACTTTTCTCACAGCAGACAAGAAAGTCCAGACTTTGAGAAAATGTTTTCTTCTTTAGATAGTTTAAGAAACAATTTAGGGGCTGGAGAGATGGCTCAGAGGTTAAGAGTACTGACTGCTCTTCCAGAGGTCCTGAGTTCAATTCCCAGCAACCACATGGTGGTTCACAACCATCTGTAATAAGATCTGGTGCCCTCTTCTGACCTACAGTCATACATGCTGTATACATAATAAATAAATCTTTAAAAAAAAAAAAAAGAAAGAAACAATTTAGAAATTTAATAAGAGGCTGGCTAAGTGACAGAGTGTGGTGGTGCACTCCTTTAATCCAGCACTCAGGAGGCAGAAGCGGGTGGATCTCTGCGTTTGAGGCCAGCCTGGGCTACAGAGTTCTGGAACATCAGGGCTCCATAGAGAGACCCTGTTTCAAAAGACAGACAAACAAACAAACCAACCTACTGGTTTTACCTTGAAACTGAACTAAGAGAAACTGAAGTAGATTCTTAACACTGGAGATATTGCAACTGGTGTTTAAGAGAGGTGATTCAAATGTGAAAGAAGATAAATGAAAGGATGAGAATTCCTGCAAGAAAAGGAATCTGTAAGAAAAGAAGAGGATAGAACTACAAATACAGTAAGTGAGGAACTCATCAGCTCCCTTTCCTGTGAGCCCTGACACAGCTGTAGAGGAGATTGGTGTTAGAATAGAAGAGCAGTAAAACCCAGACTGAAGCACACAGAATGGGGGAGTTTGGGGCAAGGAAAAGAGCATAAGGCTTCATGCATGCAGAAAAGCACGTCTAGTGTCCTAAGGGTTAATTGTATCAAAGCAAGAGAAATGACCTAAATAGAAGGTGAGTGTGAGCAGAAGTATTCTGAGTCTTGACATTATTTGAGACATGGTAAAAGTAATCATTTGTAGTAGAGTTAAAAATATGAAGTAAGTATGTTAGGTGAGGCGAGCCGTGAAACATTATATAACAAACAGCTGTGTAGAAAAGAGGACAGACGAAAGAGTGCTTGGGCAGTGCACAAGAATGCAGATTGGAAACAAATGGCTGATGATAATAGGCCTGAAGGTTTGGCAGATACATTTAAAGGTACATAGAATGGCTAGCACTGGGTGAAATTGTCAGAATGTGAGAAAGCCAACTACATGCGCCTCATAGGGGTTGCACTGCTTCAATATAAGGACAGAAATGTTGGAAATGAGAAGCTGGAGAAAGGCATGGCATTGAGACAGTGAGGAGAGGAGAGCTACTGAAGTCACACAGACACCAGAAGACAGTGTACCCGACAGCTGTTAGTGTCACCACACAATGAGAATACTTGCTACCCAGGTCATATTCGAATCATCTAATAACACAGATTCAAAATAAATGAAGACTATTTGACAAAGATAAAAAGAGACACAAATAACCCACAGTTAAATGAGGAAATTAACAGCTAACAAAGCACAAAAAGTAATTGGGCAAGGGAGAGTTAAAACTTATTATTTTTATTTACTTATTTTCAAGACAAGGTCTCACTATGTAGCCCTGACTGGCCTGAAACTTGGTATAAATGCACCAGATAGATCTCTCACTCAAGAGATCCATTTGCCTCTGCCTTCTGATAGTTGGAATTAAAGGCATTAACCACCATTCCCAGGCTAAGATAGAGTTTTGAACACGTGATTAACAATTGACTAAATGTTGACATATGTATAATGTACTCGGCAAGAATGAAATATAAATTTAATGTGTACATGGATCGTGCACTAAAGTAGCTTGTATGCATGTTCATAAAGCAACTCTTATCTAGTTTCAGAGTTAAATTCATTGAGAATACCAGGTTTTGTTATTTGGTTCTGGGGGTTAATCCAGGGTCTTGAGCACTTCTTAAGCATGTACTCTACAACTGAGCCTCTCCCCCATCCTGGGAATACTGTTTCCTGACTACAGTGGAGCTGAGTGCTCTTCAGAATGGCTTGTGGTTAGGCTGGGTATGTAGTTCAGTGATAGAGTGTTAAGAATACCAAAGGCTGAAGTAGGGTGAGGTGGGGTGTGGTGGGGTGGAGTGGAGTGGGGTAGGATGGGGGTGACAGAATCAGTATTAGTCTAAGTCAACACAGAAATCACGATGATACTTAAAATGGGATAATATGGGGCCGGTGGGATAGGTCACTAGTTAAGTTACTTGTTGCCAAGTCTGATGACCTGAGTTTCATCTCTGAGACCCACATGGTAGATTGAGAAGACGGATTCCTGAAAGTTGACCTGTGGTCTTCATAGGCACACAGCAGTATATACATACCCCCAGAACAAATAAATACAATAAATCAAATTAATTAATATCTGCATGACCTTGGCTAGACAGGTTTGTTTTGTTTGTTTTTATTCACGAGGATACAAGAAAATTGGGGAAATCAAGGGAAAGACAAATTAGACAGTAGTAAAATTCTGCCTTTCTCATGAAAAGGCAGAATAGAAGATTTTATAGTGAATAGGACTTACGAGATGGATTGGTGGATGAAGGTACCTGCTGCGAAGCTTGGCAACCCAAGTCCTTTTTTTTTTTTTAAGATTTTATTTAATTTTATTTTATGGGCCTTGATGTTTTGTCTGCATTCATGTCTGTGTGAGGGTGTTGGATCCCCTGGAACTGGAGTTACAGACAGTTGTGAGCTGCCATGTGGGTGCTGGGAATTGAGCCCGGGTCCTCTGGAAGAGCAGCAAGTACTCTTAACCACTGAGCCGTCTCTCCAACCCTGGCAACCCAAATTCTATTCCAGAACCCACATGATAGAAGTAGAGAGCCAACTCCTAAATTATGCTCAGTTTCCACATGCATGCTGTGGTGCATGTGTGCAAGCACACACACATACACAGAACAAATGTAAAAATGTGTGCAAGCACACACACATACACAAAACAAATATCAAACAAAATCAGAGGGCCGAAGAGATGGCTCACTGGTTAAGAGTACTCACTGCTCTTATAAAGGAGCCAGATTCAGTTCCCAGCATCCACATGGTGGCGCACAACCACCTCTAACACTAATCCTGGGGGATCTGATGCCCTCTTCTATCCTCCAAGGGCTCCTGCACCTATGTGGTGCACATACATATACTCAGGCACACACACTTACACATAAATACCTTTTTTTAAAGGTTTTGTAGTGTGTATGACGGAATATATAAGAACTACAAATAGACAAGGAAAAAATAAAATAGAGGCTGGAGCACGAACATGGCAAAAGACAGTGACCAGACAGCCACTAACTATGGAAGAGCGAAGAGTGTGCAGCCTTCTAGCTCCTTATAAACTGTCACTTCAGATCCAGCAGGCGGGGTCATCCATTTTGATTGACACCAGTGGCTGGTGAGAACAGGAAACAGTGGAGTGCTCACCTGGTCTGGGCGCATGTAAGGGTGGGTAATTCTAGGAAAATGTTTGCTATTGTTTAAATCTAAATAGTTACAGTTTTGTTGAGCGGGTTCTCGCCCTGTAATTTAGGCTGGCTTGGAACTGAGTTTGTAGCCTAGTCTAGCCTTGAACTCATGGCAGTCCTCCTGCTTCAGCCTTTCAGTGCTAGGATTACAGACACGAGCCTCCACTCCTAGCTTATATTCAGAGTCCTGCTCCAGGAGTTTTGCCCTCAGGTATATGCCCAGTCATAATACCTATCCACACCAAAAGATGCACAGATGAATCTTTACAGCCACGTTGTGTGTATAAGTCCAATACCTATCAACAGCAGGATGGGTAATCAACCTGCCATATTATTGTAGTGGAATACTATGCAGCTGTGAGATGGGTAGGCTCTTATCATACTCAACAAGACTGAGTCATACAGAGAGGAAAGTAGCTGGATACACACGACTGGTTTAAAATTAAAAATCAGGGCAATGAGGATGCTCAGCAGGGAAGTCCCTTGCTATCAAGCCTGCTGCCCTGAGTTCCATCCCCAGAACCTACATGGAGAAGGAGGTGACTCTGGAAGGTTTCACCTGACCGCACATAGACCGCACACATGCAGAAAAATTTTAATTAAATTTAATCGAAGTTATGGGGCTGGGGAGATAGCCAGGATGGTAAAGTATTTGTCATGTAAGCATGATGTCCTGAGTTCAGTCCCCAGAACCCACATTAAGAGAGCTGGGTGTGGGATGTGTGTTTGTAATCCCTGTGCTTGGGGCAGAAATAACTTAGCCTAGTAAATGGGTTCCTGTTCAGTGAGAGACCCTTCTTCACAAACCAAGGTGGGTAGTGCCTAAGGAACAGCACTCAAAGTTGACTTCTGGCCTCTGCACTACACATACTCATGAACCCCGATCCATGAACTATACACACACACACACACACACACACACACACACACACACACACACACACACACAAAACAATGAACTATCTTAATCTTTTTCATTGAAGGCATGCATCTGTTGTTTTAAATATGTTATGAATGTCTTGTGCATCTGTTTTAAATATGTTATGAATGTCTTGTGGCCTCAGGCCTACTGTGCAGGAGGATGGGGGTGACGTGATCTACAGAGGCTTTGAAGATGGCATCGTGCGGCTGAAGCTCCAGGGCTCCTGTACCAGCTGTCCCAGCTCCATCATCACCCTGAAAAGCGGGATTCAGAACATGTTGCAGTTTTACATTCCAGAAGTGGAAGGTGTAGAGCAGGTAGGTAATACTGTGGCAGTTTGGGTTTAATGGTGAGGGGGGACCAAGTCTATAACCTGTCTTTACTGGGGAAAGCTCCATAGGTGGTTCTGTTCTGATTGCAGTTGTTAGGAAGGGATTAAAAACACCATGCAATTATATATAGATGAATATAAGAGTGGAGAAACTCGTGTAATTTACCAACTTCTTATTCTTCCCTTACTCTACTCCCAACACCATTTTTTCTTTTAAGATAGGTCTTGTGTGCTGGGCAGTGGTGGTGCACGCCTTTAATCCCAGCACTTGGGAGGCAGAACCAGGCAGATCTCTGAGTTCAAGGCCAGCCTGGTCTACAGAGCGAGATTCAGGACAGGCTCCAAAGCTACACAGAGAAACCCTGTTTCAAAAAACAAAACAAACAAACAAAAAGACAACAACAACAAAAGGTAGGTCTTGTGTGACCCAGGATGACCTTGAACTCCGTATGTAGCTGAGGATGGCCTTGAACTCCTGCCCACCAAGTGCTGGGATTGTAGATGTGTGCCACCACACCTAGCCTTTATCAAAAATTTTTATTACATTTGTGTGTGTACATGTTCATGCTTGTGTATGTGGGTGTGCACACTGCTGTGCATGTACAGGGAGAGGATAACTTGTGGAATTGGTTCTCTCCTTCACTTTTTGTGCATTACTGGGATAGAATTCAGGTCATCAGCCTTGGCACCAAGTGTCTTTACCCCTGAACCATCTTGCTAGTCCCAGTTTTTGTTTAGTGAGACAGAATTTCTCTCTAAAATCTAGACTGGCCTGGAGCTTGCTATGTACTCCAGGTTGGCCTGAAACTCATAATCCTCCTGCCTCAGCCTCCTGGAAGCTGGAATTACAGGCATGCACCACCAAGGAAACATAGTTTTGTACAGTGAAAGTTGTACACAGTTTGGCTTTGGCTATAGCATGTTGGAATGTTTTGTCTCTAAGTGTGTAAGGTTGTCATGGTGACTGACTGCAGTGATGCTAGCTAAGAAAGGGCCTTAAGGAAAGGCTACCAAGGAGGAGACAGTTACAGAGACTAGAGATTTGAGAAACTTTGTGAGGGGTTCTGTGGCTTTAGAAGGTGTCTTCTTCCAGTTGCCTGGAGAATCACTTATCTCTAGTAGTCTTAAAGGCTGGCCTTTTGGTCCAGTATAAGTTCTCATTAGTTCTCTGCTGGTGCAAAGCTCTGTGTGTCAGCACTGTGTATATGCATGGGCCTCCTAAAAGACTGTACCTTGTGTTTCTCTGCAGCAGCCCTGCTGGGTCACAAGTGTCATTTGCACACTGACAGTGAACAAGTTCTTGGGACTCTTACTCCAAATTTAGGAATGATTCTGCCTAAATAGGACTTGGTTTACAAAATTGTTTGCATTAGATATTGCTGAAATTTAGATATTAAGTATTCTTTTAAAGTGAAATAACCATTTTTAGTTAACCTCAAAGAGAAACTAAGAGGAGAGAATTCCTCTGTTCAGTGTCTCTCTTTAGAACCCATCCAGTGGCCATTTTAGTTTCTGTCATGTTTGCTTTAAGTTTTGAGATGAAGTTTTGCCCTGCTGCCTGCCTAGTCTTGAGCTCCTGGGCTAGAGTGATTCTGCCACAGCCTGCAGGTAGCTGGGACTTCTGTGCCACTGTGTCCTGGTCATCAAGATTTGTTTTTATATCATTACTCCCCTCCTCCTTCATCCCTGGTGCCTTTTGAAAAAAAAATTAGTATTAGTTGGGGGCCAGTAGAGTAACAAAGAGGAAGCATTTGTATTCCCATGTCCAGGGTGGGTACAGAATTGACTGGTTACAAACTTTAATTGCCATGTAATTGTAGTAGGTGTGGTAAGGAGAGAGACATTCCATAGCTTTCTATAACCCTTCCTTTTCAGAGGTGTTGGCCTTTATTATCCAGTAACTCATCAGCCCACAGAAGGACTAGTCTTCTTTTTCCCCTTAAGTATTATTCCTTACCATTTTTCTTCCCTGAAAGTCTTCGTATTTCTTTAGGTTTAAAATAATTTTTATTTGAGTAAAATCAAAATAGTTTACGGTATTTTTTTCTATTTTTAATTCCCCTTTTTTAAAAAAATACTCTTTCACTGGGTGTTGCTGGTGCACCCTAGCCTGGAATTCATAGAAATTTGTCTACCTCTGTCTCCTGGGAACTAGAGATAAAGGTGTGTGTCTTCATGCCCTGCTGAAAATTTTTAAATTACATTTATTTATCACGTTCATGTATGTATGTACACACACCACAGTGCACAAGAGGAACCTTGAAATTAAACCTACCTCCAGAAGTTCGTTCTCTTCTTCAGCATGTTGGGCATGGGATCCAACTCAGGTCTCAGACCCAGCAGCAAAACCTTTATCCTGGAGCCATCTTTCTGCTGGCCCTGTTGGTTTTCTGAGGCAAGGTCTCAAGTTGTCTAGACTAACTTGCTCTGTAACTGAAGCTGGCCTTGAACTCTGGATTCTGTGATTATAGGCATGCACTATCACACCTGTCAGGATTCATTTTTTGATTAATTATGTTTACAAGAATAATTTAAACTTCTTTCAAAAAGAGGATACTTTTAAGAACGTGGCAAGATGGTTAGACAGGAGAAAGCACCCGCTGTGCAGGCCTGCACCCCAGGTCCCATCTTTGAACCACTAAAGGTGTCAGGAGAGCTGACGCCAGAAAGTTGTCCTCCAGCCTCCACATGCAAAGGCATGCCCACCACCCCTTCACACCACCCCATCACACCACCCCATCACACCACCCCATCACACCACCCCATCACACCACCCCATCACACCACCCCATCACACCACCCCATCACACCACCCCATCACACCACCCCATCACACCACTCCACACCACCCCATCACACCACCCCATCACACCACCCCATCACACCACCCCATCACACCACTCCACACCACCCCATCACACCACCCCATCACACCACCCTATCACACCACCCCATCACACCACCCCATCACACCACTCCACACCACCCCATCACACCACCCCATCACACCACCCCATCACACCACTCCATCACACCACCCCATCACACCACCCCATCACACCACCCCATCACACCACCCCATCACACCACCCCATCACACCACTCCACACCACCCCATCACACCACCCCATCACACCACCCCATCACACCACCCCATCACACCACTCCACACCACCCCATCACACCACCCCATCACACCACCCTATCACACCACCCCATCACACCACCCCATCACACCACTCCACACCACCCCATCACACCACCCCATCACACCACCCCATCACACCACTCCATCACACCACCCCATCACACCACCCCATCACACCACCCCATCACACCACCCCATCACACCACCCCTTCACACCACCCCATCACACCACCCCATCACACCACCCCATCACACCACCCCATCACACCACCCCATCACACCACTCCATCACACCACCCCATCACACCACCCCATCACACCACCCCATCACACCACCCCATCACACCACCCCATCACACTCCATCACACCACTCCATCACACCACTCCATCACACCACCCCATCACACCACTCCATCACACCACCCCATCACACCACCCCATCACACTCCATCACACCACTCCACACCACCCCATCACACCACTCCACACCACCCCATCACACCACCCCTTCACACCACCCCATCACACCACCCCATCACACCACCCCATCACACCACCCCATCACACCACCCCATCACACTCCATCACACCACTCCATCACACCACCCCATCACACCACTCCATCACACCACCCCATCACACCACCCCATCACACTCCATCACACCACTCCACACCACCCCATCACACCACTCCACACCACCCCATCACACCACTCCACACCACCCCATCACACCACTCCATCACACCACTCCATCACACCACCCCATCACACCACCCCATCACACCACTCCATCACACCACCCCATCACACCACTCCATCACACCACCCCATCACACCACCCCATCACACCCCCCATCACACACACCTCCATCACACCCCCATCACACCACCCCATCACACCACCCCATCACACCACCCCATCACACCCCCTCCATCACACCCCCCATCACACCCCGCCATCACACCCCCACCCCCACCACATACACCCACACACAATTTTCTAAAAGATAAAAATACGTTATATTACTCTTTTCACTGAAGAATTGGAGCCGGTCCTTTTCAGTCTGCCCAGCTGAGACTCTACTGCCGGAGGCCTCTCTTTTGAGACAAGGAAAGGGATCTAGTTCTTTTATACATATTTAATTACTTGTATTATCTTAGGATCCCAGACTGAATCCTGTGCTTTGGCCTGTTAATGGCTTTGTTACTGTTGAGTGCTGTGCATTATCATAGGCTATTTTAGGCAGGCAAGTGATGTTCAAATCAGGAAAACAAGTTTCTAACCCTTTTCTTAACTCTTGAATTCTCTTTGTTTTCTGGCTTTAGGTGATGGATGATGAATCAGATGAAAAAGAAGCAAATTCACCTTAAATATCTGCATTTTCTTTGCCTGCAACCTTTGGACTTAACTGTACGGAGCCTGTATTAATTTCTGCTATGGAAGTTGATTAATAAAATGTCTCCTTCCTCCAGAAGATATAAATATCATTTGCTTCACCTCACAAGTTATTTATACCACCCTGAGTCATCATTCACACACGTGGTTTTTATCTAGGGGTATTTTTTATTTTTACTCCTCATCTCTTCTGGTTCTTCCTTTGCATGCTATGTGAAGCAGCTTAAAATATGTTTCCCATTTAACTCATTTGCCTTTTTATATGCAGAAATAAGTAGAAAGAATGCTTTTAAAATATCCTAAAATGACTTAGATTTCCCTATGAAATATCCAAAATTTTTTTTACTGCAGTTTTTAGTTTATTAAAAAAAATGAATAAAATAAAACCAGGCGGTGGTGGTACACATCTTTAATCTCAGCACTTGGTAGGCAGAGGCAGGCGGATCTCTGTGAGTTTGAAGCCAGCCTGGGCTACCGAGTGAGTTCCAGGAAAGGTGCCAAAGCTGTACAGAGAAACCCTGTCTCGTAAAACCAAAAAAAAAGAAGGAGAAGGAGGAGGAGGAGGAGAAGGAAAGAAGAAGAAGAAGAAGAAGAAGAAGAAGAAGAAGAAGAAGAAGAAGAAGAAGAAGAAGAGAAAGAAAGAAAGAAAGCACTAAATAATTCTGGTTTAAAATGACAGCTGTTGAGTAGCCCGGTGTGGGAGCCTGCAATTCCATGAGAGCACAAAGAGCAGTCCCATGAGTGCAGACATGGGGACGGAGAGCAGCCTAAGCCCAGAGCAGCCCGTGGAAAGCTCAGCTCATGAGGCCCTGGCTCCCTGGGTGAGCCTCTTATCAGAAATTCTCAATTACTGAACTCCAGCAGGTGGAGAGAGATCATAGAGCCCTTGGTCAGCAGTTTTACTGGTTTGTGATTTGTGGTAGGCTGCCAAGTGTCTGCCTTGAAATTAAACAAATTGATACGTATTTTCCAATTAATTGGCTCTAGAAAATAAAGTCAATGGGTTGAAACAGTTGTTCTGTTAGTGGTTGACTTATAAGGAGTAATTTAATCAAGTAATAGTTTTTATTGTTGTGCCTGGTATGATGAATACCTGTCACCCCAGTATTCCAGGGGTGGAGACAGCAGGCTCTGAGGGTTCAGGTCTGTATGTGTTGTATGAAACCCTGTCTCAAAGAAAGCAAAACAATGGTTAAAAAAAAAACACACTCATTACTGTGTTTAGCTACAATAAAAATAGAAACAAAAATTTCCCAGAAATATATAAGCTTTTGTTACATGAATATAATTGAAAATGCTTTATAAAGGTCAGGTTCCGGTCCAGTGAAGGCAGGAGGAGCCCAAGTTCAAGAGAAAGATGGGACAGAGCAAGGGAGAAAGAAAGTAAAATGCTGAGGATACTGTACTGATAGGATGTCTGCCTAATAAATAAAGCCCTAGGCTTGATTCCCCAGCACAGAAAACAGGAAATTTAGGACAACTTAGAAGTTATGTGAAACTAAGATTCTTGGTTAATAATAAGATAGGTTCTGAAATTTCTTGCCAACGGTATAGGGTAAAGTGCTCTGTAGAATGCTCGTGGACTTCTCACTAAGCATTTCATTTGAAATGCTGGCTAGAGGGTCTGGATATAAGGTCCTGTGGGTTTAATTATGCAAAAATAGTAAATTCCCACTGATGGTTCACTGTGCAATAGCACCTTAGAGTTAGAAACTTACTAAATACCATTAGGTAGGTAATTATTGCCCTGTTTTAATAGTGAGATGGTGGAGGTACAAGGTAGACATTTTCCATTGCCATGTGCACAGTCCCCATCTTGGTCTGCTTTCGGGGTTCCGGACCCTCATCACAGAGGGAGGAGGCCTTAGTGCTGCCTGGTGGGTATGGTTCTTCCCTGCCTTTATTCAATGCAGAGCCACAGTAGACCAGAGCAGTAGTGTGTGCATGTGGGTATGTTTTACCACTGAATATGAAGCTCCCACTCTGCAGTGGGAGTCTACCTCTGTTGTTGGAAACTCCTGCTTTCTACTGTACTTCTGCACATCAGAGTTACCTGTGATATCACACTGGTTCACAGGCTGTCCACAAACCACTTTTTGAAGCTCCAGGGAGGAGTTATTTTATCCTGAGATGTAGCAGAATCTTAAAAGTTCTTATTAATAAAAACAAACCTGGAGCCAGGTACTGGGGTGAATGCTGGAAGATCAGAGAAGCAGAACAAGCCACAGCTTACTCGCCTTGCCAGTTCCTCAGCTGATCCTGTTTTCTCAGACTGGAAGCCTCTGAGTCCTTATCCAAATGGATCTCAGCTGAACTGCTGCTCAAAAGCTTAACCAGCCTAGTTCCTGGTTTTCACGCCTTATATATCTTTCTGCTTTCTGCCTTCACTTCTTGGGATTAAAGGCGTGAGTCGCCATGCCTGTCTGTTTCCAGTGTGGCTTTAAACTCAGAAAGATCCGGATGGATCTCTGCCTCCCAAGTGATAGGATTAAAGGCGTGTCCACCACCGTTTTCTAGCCTCTATATCTAGTGGCTGTTCTGTTCTCTGACCGCAGATTTTATTAGGGTGTCCAATATTTTGGGGAACACAATATCGCCACACATGTCTCCTTACTTTTCTAGTGGCCTTTCAGCTCTCAGCAGCTCCCTAGATGGCCCACCCTTATTCTGTCTCTAACACATGCAACAGGACAGAAATGGCAGAGTAAAGATAGGACACCTGGTCTCCTGGTTTTCTGTGTATTAAGTCCCTTCTTAGCAAAACGAAAACTCTTCTAGCATCTGCCTCCTGGAGAAGAAAATGGAAGTAAATTCTGCTTGTAATTGGGAGTGAGCACCCACTGTCCTAGAATGACGAGGAGCAGTCAGGCCATGTCTGTCTAAGGTAGTAGACAGCCTTTGTGGCCTCTCGCTCTTTATTTTTTTTTTTCTTTCTTTTAGCAACATTTCCACTTTTCCTCTGGAAAACTGAGCTGTCAATCACTATTTCCCAACCCTCCTTTTCACAGGAATAGAGCACCTGACTCTCACATTGGCCTAGAACCCTCACCTAGAAGGCAGGAGGTGAGGAACCTCAGTCTTGGAGTGGAAACTGCAGATGTGGTTCCAGAACTGAGGCCATTTCTCTGCCCTCAGGGTTATAGGTGACAGTTCTACAGTATTGACTGTGGTTTCTATATAGATGTGACCAAAGATGTTTGTGACCAAAGATGCCTTTCACACTTAATTTTAGCTAATAAATCCTCCTCTTCCTCCAGTTTAAATAGGTTTCTGTTGTCATTTATAAAGTTAAAAAAAAAAAGGCACGTTCAAGTTTGGGAAAAAACAATAAAAATTATTGGTTTCCCAGAATGTGCTTATATACACACACGTAAAATATGCAGCGAAAGATCATACAGTTACAAATAGCTGCGGAGCCTGGCAAGTTCCAAATCTGAAGGATGGAGCTGCGCTGGAGACTCGAGAGAGCAGATGTTAAGATCTGAAGTCTGGCTGCTCCCAAGACTTGCTTAGGGAGATAGGTCTTTTGTTCGAGTAGGGCCTTCAACTGATTGGAGGAAGTCTACCCCCAGCAGTCTGCTCTAAGTCCACTGAATGAAAGCTTCATCTCGTCCAAAGCATCCTTCCAGAGTCATCTAGAATATTTGACTAAATAACTATATGATGGCCCAGCCAGGTTGATACATACAATTAACCATTTCAAGTCCACCCCTTGTCCATCTTTATGAATCTCTCTAAATCATAATCTTCAAATAGAGTCACAACAAGATCATACTTCCACCCAACTCAGTATGCATAGCTGAAACTCTAGCTCCAGAAGAGGATGCCAAGTCCTTCCTTGATAGTCTGGAGCCTGAGTGTTATAATGTAAAGTTAACAAAGCTTTATGCTAATGTAGACATAACCTTATGTTACCTGTAGGAGATACAAGTGAAGAAAACTTACTTGAGTATAAATATATGTATATGCACATATACACACACACAAACATTTATAAGGAAGAAGCATGACAGTTATGGTTCTCACCTAACTGGTCACATGCTTGTGGCTGGTATTTACTCCTACTACCCAGCTCATATTTCCTTTGCCTTCAGCAAACAACTCGGATGGGTGTGGTCTTGACCTGCTGAGGCAACCCCAACCTTCTTCCTTGCACTGTGCCCTATTAGCAGTCTTGTCTGGATTGCATTGTTGTAATTTCCCGTTGACATTAATCATAGGCGATGGGAAATGAAACAGATGTTCCCTTCCGGATGCCTTCCTTCTTAGTTTTGTGAGATAGTAGTCCAATTTCTGCATGGTAGGATCTTTCATTCTGTCTGACACCGTAACTCCCTTTGCCTTTTCTGCCTACTGATTTAGAGGCATGAGCAGCCCAGAGCAGCAGGGTGACAGTCACCTTCTGGGCCAATAGAATCACTGTTGTGTGTTCCCATACAAGTTTTCCTTCCTTTGGGACTAAGACCTCCAGATCAACAGAGCATAAGGAAGCAGAAATTTCGCTCGTGTGTCACTAGGGATGATAGTTATTAATCGTACCCAAATGGAGCCCCTTTTCTGGACCTTTGAGCCTTGGCTGTGGTAGAAAGTATCACATACTAGGCACAGGCAGCCTTCAAGGCCCCTTGCCTTGACCTATTACTGAAGACACTAGAGGTGTCACGCCTTGTAGGCGTGACAGTTGCCGAAGTCTCAATGGGGGTTGGAACTTCCAGATCAAAGCTGGAATGGCTACCCACTACACCAACCCTGTTGCTTTCTCCCAGAGTCTGTGGAAGAATCTAACAACCAGCTGGGAATCTAATCTGAGGGGTATCAAATGAATCTAAGCACAGAGTTCTTTAGTCGTTGACTTTATTCTTCTCAGTCAATTCCATCTACACAGTTTCTTTTCTGTTCTCATACTTAGCTCCTCTCAGTCCCTCCTGCTCTCAGTCCCTCCTGCTCTCAGTTCCTTCTGCTGTTCTCTCATCTCTATCTAGTTCTTACCATCTCCGTTCCCCTCTCGCATGTGTGTGTGTGTGTCCATTTATTAACAGCTTGTTAGTAAAAACTACAAAATAAACTCTCAGAGACAAGTATTCTGATAAGA